TGCTTGGGTACCTGCAAAGATATCTCCATGTCAAATCTTATCTTGCCACAGGAAAATTTCTGGAGCACATTACAGAATTTGAATGCTGTACTAGGGTAGCACAGTGCAGTTACTCAGAGTAATACTACCTGCATAGGGGCTTATAGGTGGAAGTTACCATTCCTCCCCTACTCTTACTAAACTTCCTTGTTCAGAACATCATCAACCAGACTTTGTACAATGTACAGCATTAATAGTAAAGGTAACTCTTTTAAAATGGTGTGATAAGTCTATTTGTAATTTAAAAGGGATCTTTTGACTTGAGAATGAACGTTTCAAACTGGAATGTGTTTAAGCTAGGAACTAGCCATTTTGAAGGAAATTGATTATCTTGAATAAGGGAAATCAGGTTAAATATATTTAAAATAGCTCCTTACAAAAGTCTCTTTATATTTAGAAGAACAATTCAAAGACAATTCTGTGAAACATGAATTTGTATTAACATGCTGAAGTAGTTTAATGTCACTGGGTTATGTTGCTAACTTGGAAAGTGTAGCTGTCAAATTTACTCTGACTTTTAACACAAACCATGTGAAACTTATGGCACAGTTATTGTAATGGCATTGTAAAAACTCTCTAGCACTTGATTAAAAGTTATGGGTCTCTTCCAAAAACTACCTTGTTTAAATGTACTTTGCTTTGTTTTAAAATCTTGCTACTAATCATGTCAGAAGTTATTGTAAATTAACATTGTTTTTTCTGAAGGGTTTTTCAAATGGGCAGAAGTGAGTAAGTTACATTGAGCCTGCATTGCCTAATTGTAAAGAATTAATGTTCTATTCTTTCCTGGTTAAGTGAAGCATGGCAGTGTGCTTTGTGGGAAGTGATCCATTTATGACGTGGCCTTCTGTGGATTAATAACTTGCCTTTTTTTTTCCTTCAAAAGAAGGATGTCGGCATTCTCCACTAAGGTTGCTGAGCGTAGAATAAAAATATGAAATGACATACGTTTATATCATCAGATTTATTGAAATAAACATCTCTAAGCAAAATTGTATAAAGCCAGTTTTCATTAAACAAACCTGCAGCTTGACAGCTAATATGCCTGATGCATGAGTTGTGACTGGAGTGGCTTACATGTGGTTTAAACTGTTTTAAAAAGAAAAAAACAAAAACTGGCTTTTCAGAGATAGGTTGCTGCTGCATGTGTGACTACGTGTCTGTGGTGAGGAAGCTTGGAATGCTCAGCCTTTTGGTTGGCTTGACAGATGGATTATTCTGATAGCTGCTTTTGGAAGAGAGGTTGTGTTCAGAGAAATGTGGAACAGACCTTTTTGCTTTCAACTGCCTCAGTTAAAACGTGGCAAAGAATTTGTTTAGCAGAAAGGGAAAAACCTTCAGTTGGGTGCCTGTTTTTTTTAGACACTTTCTACCTGGACTCATCAGTGATGTTGCCCAAAGTGCTTCATTAGGGTCCATTTTTTCAAACATTTGCATTCCTTCATTTATTTTACTGAAAACTGCCTATTTCTTTCATCACAAAGTTTTTGGGGGCTTCTTCTTCTTGGGCTGTTTGTCTCTCTTCCTTTACTACCCTCTCCGCCTCGAGCTGCATTAAATCTTCATTGCTCAGCTCCTCCCCAACATCCTCAACCAGTTGGTGTATGTCTTCATTATCCATTTCCAGAGCCACTTCTTTCGCTAGCTGTACAATGTTATTAGAAATGTCTTCCAGTGCCTTTTCTTTTTCAAAGCTTTTGAAACAGTTGACAAATCTTTTTAGGATTTTCTTCCATATGCAATTCATACATTGTGAAGTGACTTCCTCCCACCCTGCAGCAATGTTCCTTATGCAATGCAGAATGTTGTAGTCCTTCCAAAATTCATGTAATGTTTTGCCGTTTTTGCATTCTGTGGCAGCTACTGCCTTTGCAAATGTGTTGCGAAGATCATATGCTTTGAAAGCAGCTATGGCCTTCTGGTCCATGGGTTGGAGAATAGATGTGGTGTTGGGAGGCAGAAACACCACTTTCAGGTCAGAATGTAAGTCATTTAGGTATTGAGGGTGACCTGGAGCATTATCCAAAATAAGCAAAATTTGGAAAGGAATTCCTTTCTTCAGAAAATATGACTTGACTTCAGGGATGAAGCAGTTCATGAACCAATCTTCAAAAAGTGCAAGCGTCATCCAGGCTTTCTTATTAATGTGATAATGGACTGGCAAAGTAGCCTTGCTGATATTCTTGAAGGCTCTAGGGTTTTCAGAGCGATAAATCAAGAGGGGTTTCAATTTATACCCAGAAACATTGCCTCCTAACAAGACTGTTAGACGATCTTTGAAAGGCTTATAACCAGGCATAGTTTTTGCTTCTTTATGTATGTAGGTACATTCGGGCGTTTTCTTCCAAAAGAGACCTGTCTCATCAACATTAAAGATGTGTTCTGGAAAATAATTTCCTTCTTTTATCAGCTTATCCAATTCTTCTATGAAAGGTTCTGCTGCTTTCGAATCAGCACTGGCTGCCTCCCCACTTAATTTCACATTATGAAGGTTTGCATGCATCTTGAAACGGTTGAACCAACCATGACTGGCAGTGAAAATTTGGTCCTAGTCATACCCCTCCTTTTTCTTTAAGTCTTCAAAAAGACTACGAGCCTTAGTTTGTATCGTCATGAGACTTAATGGCGTGCGTTTTTCAATTTGGTCTTCCATCCAAAGCACTAAGAGTTTTTCTATTTCTAGGATGGGACCTACTCTTTACTTTGTTAGAATTTTTTATTTCATAGGAGCAGACTCTTTCACTGCTTCACAAATGCGATCGCTATCCTTTATAATGGTGCTGATAGTCGATTTTGATAGCCCTAACTTACGTGACATGAAGGAAACTGTTTGACCCCGTTCATATTGTCTCACTATCGCTATTTTCTGTTCCAAATCAATAGTTTTTCTTTCTTTTCTCACCACTCTTATCACTAGCCTTTTTTCTTTTACTTGACATGATGGCCACAAGCAAACACCGAAAATACTGTGAGGGAATGAAATGTAAACACGCTGCCTGACCGCAGACACGCAAATACAACGTGCTGCCGCGAGGTTGGTCATAAGTGCAGATGGTCGTAAGTCGAGGTGGTCGTAAGTCAGGGAACGGCTGTATTAACTGTTTTTTATATCTTGCTTATTTCCATTTTAGATGGGAGACAAGGGTAGTTGCAGCTTTTCATCCTTAGATTTCAACATACAAGTTAAGAATGGGTATATCTACACTGCATAAAAACCCATGACTGGCCTGGATCAGCTGACTCGAGGTCATGGGGCTCAGGCTGCAGAGCTGTAAAGTTGCTGAGTAGACATTCGGGCTCAGTCTCTGGAACCATCACCCATTACCAGTGCATGGTCTGTGCCCGGTGATCCTGAATCAGCTGACCTGGACCAGCTGCTGGTGTTTAATTGCTGCATAGACATAACCAATATGTTTACAGTATGGGGACTATACTGATGTAGCTATGGTGCAGTAGATATACTTGCATAAACACAGCCTACACCAGTGTTTCTTAAACTTTTTAAGACCGAGGAACACCAAACAAAATAAATAAAATATATATTTTAATGTGGAACACCAAGGGTTGAGCGCCAAAAAACAAAAACAGGCATTTCCTTTTCGGGGCAGCCATTTTGAACTCTGTTCTCCATGGCACACCTCTGACTGCCGTGTGCCATGGAACATACTTTAAGAAACACTGGCCTACGCTGATGACACGGGTTTGTCCAATAGTATAGGAATACCACCTCCCAAGCAAATAGAAGAATGCTTCTACTGTTACTAACAACTTAGTTGTGTTTAAATTGGGGGTAGGTTAACACAATTGTGGACTTTTCACATTCCTGTACCTTGTGGCTATGTTGAACTAAAATTTTAAGGGTACACCATCTGAAGCATAAGTGAAGTCTAAACTGATAGGCAAAGAAATCTAAACTGCTTTTAGAGGAAATAATGATATTAGTAATGACTAGAATTTGGTTTGGAAAACCTTGACTAGTACATGTATTGGATGTGATTTAAAACCTCCTACATTGGTAATTTAACACATTTTGGATACCTTCTTTTTTCTAGCTGCAAATTTAAAGTATCAGTGAGATGTCATTCTTTCCACAGGAATACTACCACTACCACCGCTATGATATTGTTTTCAATAATATCCCTCCAAGAACTGGAAAATACTGATAGTGTCCATGAATCAGCTGTAATCTGAAAACAAAGTAATGGTCTTCCATCCTTTACAGCATGGGTGGGGAATCTGCAGACCTGGCTACTGCTTTGCACAGCTCCCATTGGCCAAGAATGTTGAACCATGTCAACTGGGAGATGCAGAGCTCTGTTCCTGTGGACTCTCGGTAAACAAATCATCTTGCAGCCACGCCAGCAGCTAATCCTGATGAAGCGCATGTAGCCCATGGGCCAGAGGTTCCCCACTCCTGCCTTACAGGATTTATATATACTTTGACTGATTCAGGCTGCCCCTGATATGTGAAGTCAGGTCTTTCCTCTTTTCTTCAGATTATATTGTATATTTGTTCTTTAGATTCTGTCTGTCACAGGACTGGATGAATTTTGTTTCTGTTAAGAACATTCAGGTGAGAATGATGGCTCTTTCATATCAATCTGGGGAGATAACACCAGTGTTGTGTTGCTTTACAAAAATAGTTAAATATTTACATTTCAGGAAGCACTCCTTTTCTACTTATGCTTTAATTGGCAAATTGTCATTTTGAGAGCTAATTTAAGCTGCTCCTGTGCAGTTATTAGATAGTTAAATCCATTTAAGAGCAAATATATCAATTTGCATTGAAATAACTCCTTTTCTGGAGGGTGCAGTAAAGCACATTGCTTTTGAATAAGAGAGAACACCTGTGTGCGTTACTTGCTCACTTTCTAGAGAGACTGTAATCTATCTTGCAACACTTTATTGTTTTGTAAGTGAAAAGTGATTTACATATATATTCTTTTTTTTCTATCTTCCAGATTATCATTTTACTCTGGGCATTCTTCATTTTCCATGTACTGCATGCTGTTCCTAGCAGTAAGTATATTCAGCTCATCTAAACCTGTTGGTTTCAAACTATGAAGGTGCATCAGTATTTTCCTTTGGCCTGTCTTGTGAGAGATGCATTAAATCATAATGCTTTTGTGTGTGGAGAGGTGTTGCTTTGAATTGATTTGAATGAAGGTTGCTTAGTGATGGATGAGGGTGGAGACCAGCATAACATTAAGGAGAGGAGGGAGGTGGCAAAATAATATGAGTAGGTGTTCAAGTGTTAGTAGGGATAAAAGATACTTCACAAGGTGGATGGCTTTTATGTCCTTACTCTCTATTGAATTAGATGACAGTGGGTTTGTAAAATATGTAGTTACTTAAGTTTGTGGTTGAAGTATTACTGGGCATTAAAAACAGAACCTCTTTCCATAAGATGAAACTGATACAGGATAGGAAATGTCTGCTTTCATAATGTATGCAAAGCCTCTAAGAAAAATAAATTAACCTTAACTGAACATTGGCATGTTTATAAGTACAATGCAACAAAATTATCTAAATGTAAATTGTTCTTAAACCTACTCATTTGCAGACAAGCACAGTGGTGATGAGAGAAGCATTTTGAACAAAAATTGTTCATAAAAAATTCTAAAATCTGGCTACATAAAATAAAACCCATCAGATTGACAACCATGAGTCAGTGAGTGGTGCATATGTCTATTCATGGGATAGGAGTGTGTGGCAGTCAACTTTACAGCATTGCAGGCTTAATTAGCAGCATACTAAGGCAGCGATTAGTTTTTGTTTATATATTTTAAAATAAAAAGAGATTGCACACAGCCATGGAATGGGCTTGAGTTTACATCTTCCTTCACAGATGAATAAAGGGTTGTTTATTTTCTCTTGAATTGCCCAGTATAAAAACTTTTCAGTTTGATAAGCTATAGTTATAGGAAGGCTGCAAGCTGCCATGAATTTCTTTTAGCTTTATTTTGGGCACCTTTATTCTTGATTTTTATGCTGGAAAAAAAGGAAAAAACAGTTTATATATTTTGCTTAGTAAGTTCCTTGCTGCTGCGAGCAGCCATACCTGCAGATTTTTCGGTAGTACGTGGCAAAAGACACCATGTCACAAGACCTATAACTTGACAGAGTTTCTAGTATAAGTCCCAGGCCCCTTTGATGCATAGGTGCTGGAATTAAAAGTGCAGGAGGTGCTGCAGCATCCTGGGCTGGAAAGGGTTTCCAATTGAGTTAAACAGCTCTCAGCATCCCAACTATAAAAATTGTTCCAGCTTCTCTGTTTTGATAAGTACCCAAGAGCTCACCTGAACCATACAAACCAGCTCAGCAGCAACCTTCACCATATGCGGCAGCAGCCAAAGCCAGTCAACCTTTTTTGTAAAGAAGAAAATAGGTAAAAATAACTACAGCTTTTCTACAATACATACCCCCATATTTACCACTATGTGTGCAATGTGCTCTCCTACTAAGGCCTCCATGAAAAAAATGAGTCCTGTAGGCTGCAAGTATGTACTGTTTTTGATTAGGTTGCTGAGCTGAGGGGCCCTCACTTATATATCAAGGGGATTGCAGCTTGAGCATGTAGATAAAAATCAATGCACAGCAATGGAAAATGATGTGGGGAGGTGTTCAGTACCACAAGAATCTAGGGCAAACAACTTAAGTATTTATTTAGACTAGTAATCATATACATTGGCATCAGACTCTCATGGCAATAGAACTGCTAGACTCTTCATGTAATGGATGTCCTTTCCTTTAAGAAGCATCTAGTCTCCCCGTATCTGGCCTTCCCCATGCTGGGACCAGAACCACTGCAGCTATAACCATGTTTAATGATGTTGGTTGGTGGAAAGATCATACCACAATTTCCAGATTGGGCTAGAAATCTTTAAGACAGTCTGTGTGATATAGACTATTTAAGGAGATGACCCATTTTAAGAGTTATCAAGTTAATCTTCCAACCACAGAATGATTGCTCTGTAAAGCAAAACTGAGTGCTTTCCCACTCTATTTTGGAATTAATCCAGTTGGTCTACTCCAATTTGTCTGGGCTTAATCCAAGCAAGATTAAAATCCAAATAGCTGAATGTTGTATTACTGTGGACTAGCTTCTTTTTTCTCTGCTTTCCCCTACTTCAAAGCATGGGCTCTCTTTAGAGATAGTGACAAAAAATGAAAATACCTAAGTACGACTACAGAAGGGATTAAAACAGCTTGTTTTAGAGTCTTGTCAACCTGCCCAATAGAATGCTTCAATCTTCAGTGTAAATTTGGTGCATTTGGAAAATCCTTATTTACTACACAGTTTTTAAAGTTCAGGGTTACAGTTTTGCAACTCTGATCAAATTCAGAGTTTTGGCTTCTCCATTTTGGCTGCATACTTCAAGATTTTCATCTTATATTTTCTTTTGGCAGCAGAATGACATCTGCAGTAGTTGGATAGTCTATTCAAAATGGAGACTTGAGATTTTGTTTTAATCTTTGTAAAAAAAAAATTGAGCATGATTTTCAGTGAGGCGTAAAGAGAAAGTTTTCAATATGGGCCTATAAGCATGACTTCCTGGAAAGTTTTAAAGTTTAATAAAGCACTAAAAGCTGCCATTACACAGACATAATTCTAGCATCTAGGTTAGAACTGCTTTATGGAGGAAGACTGACATGAGATATATATTTTTTATTTTTTACCTCTTCCCTATGAACCCTGTCACTGTCTGTGTGGGCTCTTTTTCACCATCCTGTAAATCCAATAGCACGGTGAAGGGGGTGTGGTATTTTTTTATTTTTATTTGTTTAATGTTCAAGTAGGCTCCAGCAAAGTGTCAGGGTTTGTGGGTGTTTTTTGGAGATATGTCTCTGTTGGTGCTCCACATCAGGTTTCGGTGCACCCCTGCGCTGTGGATTGGAGTCTTCAGAGCAGTGTCCCTGGGGCTGGGCATGTGTGCATTCTGAGCCACATACTCCCTGTGTGCTGGCATCATGCATGTGTAAGCCCTTCCTACCTCAGTTCCTTCTCTACCATCTCCAGCCAGAGACGGAACTCTGCAGTGTTCCTGACCTTATTCTGGATAGCTAGATAAGTAAACCTATTTCATCTGTTTTCTTAATTAGTTCAGTCAGTTAAATGTTATTCTTCCCTGTTTAAAACAAAAAAAACCAAAACCTTTTTTCCATTGTTTCCTCCCTCCCCCCGTTAGTTTAGTGCTGTGCCTGGTTCACCAGGATTTAAATGTTGCTCCTCATGCAATAACCCTATTCCAGTCTCAAAGTGTCCGCTGCCTTGAGGAACCACGCGTGTCTCAAAAGTGCCCCCGTTGCGCAAAACTAAAATCAAGAGGTTGTCAGGACAGAGGTCTGTGACTCAAACTTACTTTACTTGAAAAATCATTATGCCCTGCCTCTGACCCAGGACAGGATTCTGAGGCTTTCTAGGTGCATAGAGATAGAAGGCCCACCAAAAAAAAAAAAAGTGTTTCCTTGATCCTACAGAATCCTAAAGCACCAAAAAAGCACTCACCATCAACCTTGGTGCCGAGAATATCAGCAGCTCCGTGCCACAGCACTTACAATGTGCAGGTGTCTCCAGCACCGGTGGTACTGCAGCAATACTGGGTGTCCAGAAACTGCCAGGCACCAGTGATGCCACAACACCACCACAGGCACCTCTGTTGGCACCTAACATTCCCACGACACCTGCCAGTAGCACGATGGCACCACCAACAGACAGCACCTGTTTGGATATTTGCTGAACTGCCACATGGGCATCAGACCAGACCTTCACCAATCGCTGTGCACTAACTGAAGGCCCATTGTCCAACCTTAAGTTCCCTAAGGCGGTCCTTTCTACCACCTTCCTACCAGATCCCTGCCTCCTGAATCATATAGCCTTGCAATCAACTGATGTGGAGAACCCATTGGGACATCTCTCTCTCTCTCTCTCTGTGGAAGATACTCACCTGTGCAGAAACTGATATTCTTCAAAATGAGTTCTCCTGTGGGTGCTCCACTACCCTCTCTTCCTCCCCTGTACTTTGATGTCCTTGGGTCTCTTCAAGGGGTCTCGCTCTTAGATAGAAAAAGAACGGAGGAAGGGGGGCTCATGCATGTGCGATGCTAGCACAATAGGAGCACGTGGCTCAGGCTCCGCGCATGCGTGGCTCCAGGGATACTGCTCTGAAGGCTCCGATCCCTGGTGTGGGGGGTGCACCAACACCTAAAATGGAGCTTTCCACGGGGACGCTCATATCACAGAATGTCAGTTACTGCACAGGTGAGTAACCTCCTCTTCCTCCATATATCAGCTTACAACAGGGATTGACAACCTTTTCAAACCAAAGTTCAAACCAAACTACATAAAAATTCAGGAAAAAGTGGTCAACAAAGAGCCATATAAGAATGCCTATTTGCATAACTGAAAATATACAACTTAATATTATTGATAATTGACATCATGATTAATAGCATAAATGAAAATTGTACTCACAGACTTTATTTAATGGGACTTGTGCTGCTGCATCTTTTCACACCTTTCTTTGAAACTTACATCATAGCTGGTCAAATCCAGCTTCATGCATGCATTCAGGCTGTCTTCTGTCAATCTTATGATGGGGACTGGGGATGTGGGAGTGCAGGAGTTTGGTTTGGGATATATGATTAGCTCAGGGAAGTTGGATGTATGATGGGCTCAGGGCACAGATTTGGGGTGTGAGGGTGGTGCATGGGTGTTATGGCAGGGCACTGGGGATGTGGGGTGTGTGTAAGAGGGGCTCAGGGCAGGGGGTTCAGGTGTGGTGTGGGCTCAGGATTGGAGTTTGTGGGGGTGTGCAGGAGTATTAGGGTTCTCTAGGCAGATGTGGGGGGCTGGGCCCTAATTGGGGGTTTGTTGGCCAGGCTTCACTTTTAAATAAAGTAAAATATGTCCAACACACAAGGTTTCAACGTTGTCTTTTTTTATGGCAGAGGTGGGGAACCTTTTTGGGTTGTGGGCCGCTGACCCACAGAAAAATCAGTTGGGGACCACACAAGTG